GCACTTGTTATGGGTGGGCTTGCATTTTGCTCCTTCTCATTGTCGTTTTGTGTAGCACTGTCTTCTGACCTTTGTTGTAGATCTTTGTTGCAGTTATGGCCTTAACACCTACTGAAGTTCAGGTGTAGATCTACAAAGTTTGGATTTATCCAGCTGTGCCTGGCTTGGGTCTGGCTGCTGTGCTCAGCTCCTTCCTGCTGCTGCCCTTAGGAGTGAACCTGTTGTGTCCCTCTGACAAGATGTTCTGCTCCTGGACTAGTTGGGTAGTTCTGTCCCCTACTCTGCAGGGAGTGCAGCTGAATGGTTTTACCCCAGGCCTGTATGCCAGACCTGAGCTGAGTCTGGAGGGGACAAGGTGAAGTAGGGGGGAGAGGCAACTCTCCCACACACTTACTGGGCCTGGACTAGGACTGGAACTGGGGGTTCCTAGAACATGACAGAAATTCCTACTCTGTGTGCGGGGTGTGGGTGGCGTACTACGGAGTGATGTGGGGGCGTCCCAAGAGGGTGAAAGAGGGTGTCACCCACGCTGCACCTGGGCTGGAACCAGTAGGTCCCACCAGCGCAGGGTAGCCGGAAGCTCTCCCACACACTCACTGGGCCTGGGCTAGGACTGGGTCTCTCTCTCTTTTTTTGTATAATTTTTATTTTATAATTTTAATGTCATTGTAATGCTGGCCTAATGGAATAAATTGAGAAGTGTTTTCTTGTCCTTTCTTTTCCTTAAAAGGTTGTATAGAATTTATATTTCTTCATTAAATGTATAATAAAGTTTTCCTATGAAACCATCTGAACATGGGAAATTTCGGAAAGATATTAAGTTACAGATTCAATTTCACTAGACTAATTCTGATTGTTTTATTTTCACCCTTTCTGATCAAGCCTTCAGTCACACTGGTCCCTTAGGACAAGGGTTGCACTAGTTTATTTTAGTTTGTTTCTTAGATGTTATACATCATTTTAAGATTCTGAATCTTGTTTTTGAAGAAGGTTGGCACTTTTGTTTCATCTCTTATGCATTGTTTCCAACATCAGTCAAATTTTCAAGTATTTAAGTCAGTCCTGTTTGTGCACCACCTAGTGGTCAGTCTGGGATTTGGGCTGAAGTTCTGCTTTCCAAACATTTGCTATGCCAATTAAGATTAAAGTCGGGCTGCAGAGATAGCTCAGTGGTGTAAGCACCTTCCTAGGCAAGCCAAATTAATCTGGGTTTGATCCCCGGTACCACATGTCCTGGGCACCAAGGTGCCGAGCTGGCCACCAAGACCAGGTGTTGTGGCACATGCATGTAATCCGAACCCTGGGGAGGCTGAAATAGGAGGATCACCATGAGTCTGAGCTGTATAGTGAGATCTTGTACCAAATACATTAAGAAAAAAAATCAAAGCACTCAAAGGTGAACTTTTTCCTTTTCCATATCTTTTCAGTTTCTTATGCCTCTATTTTCCTGTCCTGTATTCAGAAAATTCCCACTGTCATAGTTGTACCACTTCCAGCAAAATATTGCAGAAGATCTAAAACTTGTATGAAATCTACTTGTATCATCTTGACACTATCTCAATCTATGTAAAGCATCTCACCCCACAGAATATTGATTCCTGAAGCCTCCCATTACAAGCCACTTGTGTTCCTAGGCCACCTTTGCTGTTGCCATCTTCCCTGTGGAACCGAAGTATATAGAAACCCAAAGGGCTTCCCCAAGCTTTCCGAACTTCAATTTTCATTTTTGTTTCTCAAGCCAAAATTGCAAGCTTTCTCGTGCATCTCACTCTGTCTACTAAACAGTGCTTACTTCTAGGCTTCATGCCAAATTGAATTCAGGCTCAGAATATTGAGGGAAAAATGTTGAACCTCCAACTCTTTACATGTTTCAGACTCAGGTATTCTATTCTTTTCTTTCTTTTTCTTTTTCTTTTTCTCTTTCTCTTTCTCTTTCTCTTTCTCTTTCTCTTTCTTTCTTTCTTTCTTTCTTTCTTTCTTTCTTTCTTTCTTTCTTTCTTTCTTTCTTTTTTCTTTCTTTTGGTGGAACTGGAGATTGAACTCAGGCCTTTCTGCTTGCCAGGCAAGCACTTATCCTACTGAACCATCTCCCTGGCAGGTATTCTTTTCTGATACACTGTGTCAATCACATTTTCATCACTGGGGAACAATACCCAGTTTAAAGGAAGAGAGGTTTATTTGACATATTTTCTAGTGGTTTCAGTCCAGTGGCTGGCTATAAGGCAGACAGGTATGGTGGAAGGGCATGGCACATGAAAGCTGTTCATCACATGGCAGCTAGGAAGCTAAGAGAGAAAGGACAGCCAGGGACAAGAACATAGCCTTCATGCCCCTGGTTACATATCTTCAGCTAGGACCCATCTCCAAATAGAACATTCAACTACTGATTCATCAGTGGTTAAGTTCACTAATGAATATGGCTTGCCCATGATCCAGTCACCTTCCTCCATACATATGAAACTTGTGAGGGCATTTTTAAGCTAAACAGGTGTCCTACCAATACCTTTTTACTTTTTAATTTTTGCATAGGTTTTATATTTGAGTTAGTGAGAGATTTGAAAAGATTCCAGAGTCAGTCCCAATTGCACATTTTCCTGCTCCTTGTAAATTACAACTGTTTTCTCTCCTAGCTGTAGTGAATTTCCACCAGTGCTCTAATCTATTGCTCTTCCTTTTGAAGACTAAAGGGTTTTTTTCCCCTCTTGGGAAAGATAAAGTAGATTGGTCTGGACTATTACAGTGGTACTGGCCATTCTACTGCCATCTGCAGTGAGTTTCTGCCAGTACTCACAAACTACAAGTTTTTTGCTCCCTCTCCTACATATAGTAAGCCTTTTATTTTATAGGAAATGTAAAAAAAATGGTTTGGTAGGATTTCAGCAATGTCTATTGTTGTAATCCCCATATGATGCAAAACTATAGGGTGTTTTTCTCAGGATTCTTCTCAGTCTTCCCTGTCAGAACCTGTGTTTCTGGAGAAAAACTGCCAAAGGATGTAAAATCTGTGTCTTTGTAGCCTTTACATTCTCACCCTGGCCCACAAATAGCTTTTGGTAATACATTAATGATTTGCAGCTGAATCTTAAAGTGTTGTTTTTGAGCAATATCTGTAGCAAGTGTACAAATATATGAGTCCTCTTGCTCCCTGCAGATGCTTGTTATTATAGGTTTTCCACCATTTTCACTCTACCTTTTGTTTTCTGACCAGTTGAAGAGTCATTAATTTTTTAAAAAGTCATTAATTTGAAGTATTTTACCTCTTATAATGATGAGAATGTTTCTCTTTGCAACTCTGCATCTCTAAGCTGATGTCAGAACATCATATAAGTCTGGGAATGGACTTCTGAGCCTCTATTTGTCTTCCAGCATCCATACCCCAGTTTACCAATTCCCCCACAATGGTGATTATGGTGGGTTTACCTGCTCGAGGCAAGACCTACATCTCCACAAAGCTCACAAGATATCTCAACTGGATAGGAACACCAACTAAAGGTATGTCTTTGAAGCCCCTTGTTCTACAGCTCAACTATAGGCCACTAGTTGAAAACTGAGTAAGGTAGAATGCCAAGACCTTCATCACTATTATTACCAGGATTAGAACTGCTGCTACCTCTGTTACTACCTATATTATACCAATACCACTATATTCTTATAAATTTTAAAATGTCTTGAACACATATTCCATATCCAACTCTGTGTTGCATGGTAGGCATAGGAAAATTAATGTTAAGACTAAATATGTATTCTCTCTTAGAGGCTTCAAATCAACCCTCTAAGTAACATTTTATTACTATTGCTATTATTGCCACACAAATAATACTACTTTTATTAACATTTGTCATTTCTTGAGCATTTCATTGTTGAAAAAAGCCTGAGGTGGTGAAGTACTGTGTCTAAAGGCCATAAATGACAAAATCAAATTATATTTGATTCTAGCTGGGTCTGACACTCTCACAGGTCTAATACATAGTTCTACTGATGAAAAAATTAAACACTTTCGTATTTGCCCTATATTCTTCTTTCTTCTGTTTTCTTCCTTATTGTTTCTCTTGCCCATCCCAGCATCCTATCTATTCTCTTCATTTCCCCCTCCCTCTTCTTTTCACCTCTTCTTTTATCTCTTTTTCTCCTCTCTGTTTTCCTTTTCATTCTTTCAGATTGAATCCAGGGCCTCATTCATGGTAAGTTCATGCTGTCATTAAGATACACCTAACATTGCCAAATCTTTTTTCCTTATTTCTTTTTTTCTCTCCATCTACTTTCTCTTTACCTAATTAATAAAGAATTTCCCATTGGTTTTTCACATGCCAAAATCCATGCTAGGTATTGGGGATGAAACAAATGGATGAGACTCATGCCCTACCCTTGAAGAGTTCTCAATCTGACTGGGATACATAATCATACCTTACACTTTCTATGAATGCTCAGGCAAGGTGTTGAGTATACTCAAAGAGGGAGTTACTAATTGGAAGGCACCAAAAGACTCTTGCATAGAGTATATCTGTATTGGATCATATGGGAAGAGGTAGGCATTGGCAAAAAGAAAGGCAAGAAGGAGCTATTTTATTTTATTTTGGTGGAACTGGGGATTGAATTCAGGCCTTTGTGCTTGCCAGGCAAGTGCTTATTCTACTGAGCTATCTCCCCGGCCCCAGAAGGAGCTATTTTAATGGAGCACTTTAAGTTCTAAGGAGCCTTTGCTGAATGGAAGGGTACATGGCACAGTGGCAAGTGGGTCTCTGTCCAGATCTCCTTGTCTGCTGCACTTTACTCAGCTCTTACAGAGAATATCAAAGTCACATTTTAAAACACAAAGCTGATGTGACTAGAGTGGGTTTAAATCTAGGTTTCTTAGCCAGTCACTCAAGGTCTTACACAATAAGATCCCTATACCTCTTCTAGTCTCTCATGCTCCATTCACAGTACATGACCCCTCATCCTCCAAACAGACTCTCCCTTCTACCAGTGCTCAAACTTTTCCTCTTTTTGTAGTAATACCTTTTTCCCCACCCTCATCCCTATACCCACTACAAAAGGCACATAACCTAAAAGGCCTAGGTCAAATCAATTATAGCCCCAAATGGAATTTGTCATTTCTTCTCTATCACTGTTTTGTATGGCTCCATATTGTCTCTGTCAGATCACCTAGCGAACTGTGGTTCTAAGGTTGCTGCCTGAGAACCAGAGCTTATATTTCCTACCTTACATGGTACAAGCCTGGTTTTGGTCCTAACCATCCCGGCTCAAAAAAATTTGTTATTGAATGAATGAAATATTATCTCTCTGGTTGCTTATGTTTTCCTCTTCTTTCCTTCCCTCCTATCTGATTTTTCACCATTACAAAGTGGGAAAGTATAGTCTACAAATAAAAATTTAGATTTAGATTCTCCCTCATGATACAGAAAAATGAAATAGCACTAGACTGGGAATCAGGAGGCTGAGTCTCTGTCTATTACAAACTCATTGTTTGACCCTTTCTTTGAAATTGATAGATTTGCTATCTGGATCTTGATTTTTCATCTTTCTAATAGAATACAGCATTTGAAAGATTGTAGCTTATGAAAAAATAAAATAATTTTGAGCCCAATTTTTGAAGCCCACATTCTGACTTGATTAATTGTGAAAAGTGTTTCCTGTCTATGACCTTTACTTTCCTCATTTGTAAAATGGCAATGATAATTCCTAACTTTTAGGGCTGTTGTAAGGAAAAGGTGAGCTGGTTACTATATTTTGAAGTTATATTTTATATCTATCTATCTGTCTATCTATCTATCTATCTATCTATCTATCTAT